ATCAATCTCTGTTACAGTAAATGGACAATCCCAAAGGGTAAAATACTTTTGTGCAGTGACACAGATTCCACTCATGTCATCCACCCCAGTTTGTATACATACCCCTACTCAACTTTTAAAGTCATATACATGCACAGACACAGGTACATATATAATTGTACACCCATGCCCACAGTCTTATAAATGCAGGAGCACACACACACAAACCATTCTTGCTCTTACCCATGCTGCTCCTGGTGGTGCCCCCCATCGCGCAATGTAAGAAGAAGAGAAGCAAGCACGGTTCCTGGAGGAGGGAGACCATTGTGCCTCTGCCTAAGGTGCCCTGCTCCTTCTCACCACCTCTTTCCTGTTTCCTTATCACCCAGGAGGTGGGGCAGCCCTGCTGTAACTCCCCCAGGCTGTGTATACCCAAAGGCTTGCTGCCACAGGCTGGGTCCAGTTGATTTCAGATCACCCAGTGGGGAGCTGGCAGGTTAGGGGACGGAAGGCTGGGCAGTGAACCATTCCTAACCCTGCCTCTCCTTTCCCCCATGCTTCCTGTGTCCTCTGTGATTGTAATTTCTCCTGTTTTGTAAAATGGGGAAAATGATTCTTATCTCTTCTATTTCCATGTCCTAAAAGTCTGGAAAGGGTGAGTAAGACAGAAAACTCCAGAGATGTTATTTTTGACAATCATTTTGAGCAGTGAAAATAGATTGGGGGGGGGGGGGGGTCCTTCTACAGATTCTGCTGGACCCTAGGAGAAAAATGGGCATCCTTTATGTAGGGGAGGGGGGAGGTTAAACTAGTTTCAGATAAAAGCTCTCCATGTTCCAAACTGAATTTATCTTTCCCCAAAACCTCCTCCTTCTGCTTTCACAATTCTGTTGGTGATATCACCATTTACCCAGCCTCCTATGCTCAGAACCTTGGGATTATTTTTGACTCCTCTCTCTCCCCTACTTCTCACACCCTATTGATTACCAAGTCCCATGAAATGTACTTCTGAAATGTCTCTCATATTCATCCCTCCTCTCTCTTTCTAGTTGTAGAGATTCCTCTAGGAATGAGGAAACTCCCATTCAACTCTGGATAAGGCAGAGCAGAGATGAGAGGTCAGGTGCCCCCCTCTTGTATATTGGTGTTTTCCCCATTGTGTAGAGGAGAAAATTGAAAACAGGACTTGGCCTCAGAAGAAATAAGGAGCAGAAGCAGAGACAAAATAAAACCCAGGTCCCCGGTGGATTGGCAATTCCTCATTGCCACTTGCCTAAACTATTATAGCTTTCTCATGTCTTTTTCCCTTCCTCCAATCCATGCTCTCAGCCTCACTTTCCTCATCTGTAAAATGGGAATGATTTTATCTACCACAAGGTTTTATATTGAATTGAAATTGAATAAGATATGTAAACATATGTAAAGCGCTTTGCAAGCCTTAAAGCTCTATATAGATGCTAGCTATTATTTATTATTGTGGTTCTATTTTATAAATAATAAATGATAAAATAATGGTTATGAATATCATAATAAGAGCTAGCATTTATGTAGTGCTTACTATGTGCCAGGCACTATACTAAGCACTTTATAAACATTATCTCATTTGATCCAAACAACAAACCCAGGAGGTAGGTGCTATTATTGCCCTCATTTTACAGTTGAGGAAACTGAGGCAGGCAGAGGTTAAGTGACTTTCCCAAGGTCCCAATTTGAAAGTGTGTGAATCCTATTTTGAACTTAGGTCTTCCTGACTCCTGTACCTGTGTTCTATCCACTGTGCCACCAAGCTGCCTCACTCCCAGAATAATTTTCCTTATGATTAAATCTGCCCATGTTAGCCTTCTAATCAAACATCTTCATAGACTGCTTGGTACCCATCAAGTAAAATTCAAACTCCTTTGATTAGCATTCAAGGCTCTTCACAATCTGATGTCACTTTCTTATCCCAGCCTTAGACTGTTAGGGAAATAATAATATAAATATTATTATTATTATTATTAGTGAAGAAAGCACTAACTACAGTTTCAGAAGATCTGGGTTCAAATCCTGACACTTGCTCCCCATATGACCTTGAACAAAGTCAATTTCTCTTGGCCTCAGTTTCCTTATCCGAAAAAAAATAACTGCACAGCTTCTGAGTTCCTTTGCTGTTCTATATTTACAATCATATTCCTGGTCAGGTACTCAAAATTCTAATCAAACTAGGTATTTTCTGTCTCTTTCATACCATCCCCACCCCCTAGATATACTCTCAGCTTTCCAATCTCTTTGCCACTGGTCTACAAGTCTCAGGAATCATTGGGCTGATCTATCAGAGGCTCAGGAAATGTCAGTTTAGCAAGTTTGGGCACATTTAGGCTAGGTAGACTTATTTTATTCGTACTTTTGCTTATCTGAAGCTCTATCCTGGATTTTTCTGCATTCTTCTCTCTTCCCTTCCAATGGTGAGCAGTCAACCTATCCACACTTTTTCATCCTGTGGGACTCCTGCCCATGTCCTCCCACAAAGGTCTCCTTGGCAAGCTTGGGATATTCCTCTAGGTCTCTTGACATGATATAGATCCTAGCTCCACTGCTGATTATGGGGAAGGGAAAGGGGAAGGGAATGTGCATTTATTAAGCCCCCACTACATGCCAGACACTGTGCAAAGTACTTTATAAGTATTATTGTGTTTGATCTTCACAACAGCCTTGGGAGGTAGGTACTATTTTATAGATGAAGAAAAGTGACCTGCCCAGCATCAGTCAGCTAGGAAGAGTCTAAGGCAGGATTTGAACTCAGGCCTTCCTGACTCTAGGCCCTTGTATACTATGACACCTAGATGGGGCAGGGGTGGGGTATCCAGAGAAAGCTGGACTTCTTCATTTTGTGTCAGTTATTCTCTCTTTGAAATAGGGAAAATAAATTCTCCTTTGACGGGTCATTAGTTTGAGAAAGAATTCTGAGACTCCATCAGGGATCTGGGTTTTATTTTGCCTCTGCCTCTACCTCTCTTATTTCTTGTAAGCCTAAGTCCCACTTTCAGTTTCCTCCTTTATGCAACAGGAAAAACACCGCTTGCGGGGAGACCTGGCCTCTCGGCTCTGCCCTGCCCTAGTACAGAGTTGGAAGGGGGCTTCCTCATTCCACCTGCAGGTGGGTCCCAGGCCCAATACTTAATCTATGAGCTGTGAACGATTTAGGCCTCTTCCTCACGCTAACCTCAGCCTCTCCCCTCTCCATTCCCCTCCTGCACATTCTTCCTCTACTTCCTTTTTTCTTTAATCATATAAACCATAAATAGACCTGACACCTGCAAGTCACACGTTGATAAAGTTTTATGGAGCTAAGTCAAGAAAAGTCTGGCCCTAATGCTTCCCCACCCTCTGTTAACCCTTTCTGAAGGTACCTTTATTGTCACCTGGAGAATTTCCAGCCCTGGAGGGCTGACTTGGGAGTCTTAAGGGCTGAATTCTGTGTTTTTCTCATTCTGTTGGTAACTTCAAGATTTCTGGTCCCTTTAAAGCAAGGCTCTTATCTGGAATAGGCCCTGGGGATGCCAGCTTGGCATTTTGTATCCCAAAATGTAGGAAGGACCCTAAGGTAAGTAGCCTACAGAGCCTTTCTAGGTAGGACCAGCCAAGTAAATGAATCTGACACTGAGCAAGGATTGGGGAAGCAATAACTCTAGATTTGCAAGTGACATCTAGAATTATAGCCTATTAGAGAGCATTGGTCTGGAAGTCAGGAAGACCTGAGTTCAAATCTGCCTTCAGACACTTACTAGTTGTGTGACCTTGGACAAGTCACTTAACCACTGCCTGGCTCAGTTTCCTCAGCTGTAAAATGAGGATAACGATAGCACCTATCTCCCAGGGTTGTTGTGAGGATCAAACGAGAAGATATTTTAATGGGTTTAGTACAGTGCCTGGTACATAGTGTAGGTACTATGTAAATTCTTATTCCTTCTACTCCTCAACTGCAAAATGGAGATAATAATAGCACCTCCCTCATTGAGATTGTTATGAGGACGAAATGAGATAAAGTCTGCAAAGTGCTTTGCAAATCTTAAAGAGCTATAAAAATTATAACATCTATTATTCTGATAATAACTAATAATTATTAGTGTCTTCAAATTATTTGAATAATAGACCCTCTGATTTTATTTTACCTGTGACCCATATCTCTGAGGACACTGGAGGAAGGGTTACCTTAAATAGCTTCCGTATCGTGGGTGATTTCTGGCCCTGGGTGTGAAATAGGACAGGACAGGTCTGGCCGTGTGTGGAAAGGCCCTGTGGGATTTCCCTAAAGTCCCTCCCTACATTTTTTGACCTAGAAGAGATAGACCATGCTAGTATCCCGAGTGCCTGTTCTGGGTGAGAGCCTTGACTGAAAAATGGTCAGATATTTCTGGTAGATGTTTTATTAAGTATTATTTATTATTTTTTTATTGCTTCTATGCCGAGAGAATAGGACAGCCAAGTATGTTTTATCCATTCCTATGGGGAGTTGATTCCACTATACCAAGGCCGCTTGACTAGGGCTCATTGAAATATAGAAGGTTTAGGAAAGACGTGGGGGCTCCAAAGTTGGTTCTGATTGGGTAAATCCACAAATCTACCCCCCCCCCCGAGAGCAAGTTGACTCCCAGCAAGTCGATCGCCCCAGAAAGAGGCAGAACTGGAGGAAGGAAGGTTGTTCCCTCTCCTAGAACCATAGGGAACCCAACACTTTTCCAGGACTTCCTCTCAATGGGACGGGGCTCTTTGAGTGGGGACTTGCCCAACTGTGATCCTTCCTGGTGAACAGGACCAGGTCACTAGCTAGTTAAACATATAACTAGGAAGCAGGATCATAAGATCATGATTTAAAACTAGAAAGGGTCTCAGAGGCCATCAGATCTTATACCCCATTTTGCAGATGAGGAAATTGAGGCACAGAGAGGTTAAGGGACGTGGCCAGGGTCACAGAGCTAGTAAATGTTAGAGGTAAGACTGGAACTCAGGCCCTCTGACCCCTAATTGTAATATTCTTGCCATTGTACCACTTTGCCCCTGAGCATCAGTTTCCTGATGTGTGAAATAAACTGATTGGTTGACATGATATCTGAGGTCCCTTCCAGATTTAGATTCTAGAATCCTGCAGAGCTGATAATAGCTCAGATTTATATAGTACAGAGTGTTTTTCATTCATTTGATCCTCATAACAATTTTTGGAGGTGGGTGCTATTATCATTCCCATTTTATAGATGAGAAAACTGAGGCTCAGGGAGGTTGGGATACTTAGACACTTAGAGGTTGTTTGACCCTAAGCAAATCACTTCACTTCTGGCCC